AATGTATGTATACTAGACATGTGTATAACAGAGTAAAAGGAAAGGAAAATAAATTAGACAAATTAAAAATTTTAAAACAAACCTTAAATAAAAGTAGAAAGAGTTGTTATCTATAGAAGAAAAGACTTTTGATTTACACGGATTAGTTTTTTTATTGTTGTTAAACACCAGAAGTGAACTCATTTTAATCTCCTAGTAATTAAGTCTGATTTCTTTAGGTTTACTTTTTTAAAAGAAAAGAAAATGATTATGATTATTTACATTTTGGAAATTTTAAATCTTAAAATAGGTCAAGTTTTCATTTTTCATTTATTCGGAAGTTAGTTTATACCGCAAATGATACATATATTATTAGAAAAAGGTAATATCGGTTAGTGGTTCGTTTAATTTTTCCTTATAAAAGCATGTATTCAAGAGACAGAAGTTTCGAATCAAAATGTCGAGTGAATTATTGTTAATTTCAATTACTGAAATGTTTATAGATACAATTTATTTTTTTAATATCTTCCATACACTCAGTTTCCAGCCGTTGTGAAACTATTTGCTCAAATTTAGGTGAAAGTTCTTTATTGGGAATGTTATTTTATAATCAGCACATATTATCTATTTCAAGGGAATGTATAAGTAACTTCATTTCTTCAATAACGGTGAAATCGTCTAGTGTTAATTTGGTATAGTTCATAGTAATCAAACTAATAAATTAATAGGAAATCTAAATACTGTTATAACGCTTGGAGTCCCAGACTGAAACCGATACGCAAAACTTCCAATTATTGAAGCCCCAATCGGTTAATTAACGACAAGATTAAGGGTAAGAGATAAAGTTTGTTGGGCTGAATTAAATCGAAATACATAAACACTAATTTGTACATGTATATATATAATTCTTAGAAAATGAAACTATTTCTTGATCAACAACATGAACTTTTCTTTAGGAAGATTTTTGATTAGCACAACATAGTCCTCTCATTTGGCGACCTTTGATTGGTGCACTGTATCGAATACCATTTGCAATGTTTATAGAGTATGACTTCACCATGACCTGGGAAATTGCAATAAATACTTTTTCAAAATGCTCCATTAATGAACTAAAAATGAAATAGAAAAATAACGCTTTAACCAGCCAATACGTTAAATTTATGCATCAGTTTTTCAATACAAACTGAATCATTGTGAGTATAAGTACTGTTTTTCGTTTATATGAAACACATGCTACCACCAACTAGTCAACAGTTGATTGACTATATTATATAATTAGCTGTTAGTCAGCAAATCACCCCCGGGAAAAAACCTCTGGAATTAAGTTATTTGATTTCTAGATTGATTTCTGGCTAGATATTACGAAACCGAATGTTCTGATTATGAAGAGGCAAATTTAAATTACCCAATACTTTTTCAAAAAATTTCTACCGCTAAATTATTTCGATTGTTGTTTACATTTGAAGATAGTTCGGTTGTTATAAATTATAATCAGAGAAGGTTTTTTGTGAATATTATGGTTGTTTCAATGGTTGAGATCATTAGTGAATTGAAGCCAAACCACCATGGAAAACCTGGAAGCACCGGACGGCCGTTTCGTCTCATTGTCGGACTCCTCAGCAGTGCACATCCACGACGTCACCTCATGAGATTCGAACCCAGGACCTATCAGTCTCACGTGCAAGCGCTTAATCCCTAGACCACTGAGCCGGCATCCAAAGGTGTTAATCTCTAACTTCAACTAATCCACGAAGCTGAGCGACACATCCACCAATGTCTTCGGTGAGTTACTATCTCACAACAGACCCGGTTGAACTCGACTGGTCACTGCTTCTCACTAGAACTCAATTCGTAAGAAAATTGTTTATACCCCTACTGATATCAAAATAACATGATACTATTCACTATGCCAACTTGAATTGCTTTTACACATGGTCACTATATTCATCTCTTGATTCCTAACATAGCTGCTACAAAAATTGAGCTTATATCGAAATATTTTATCAATTCTCCTTTTAAATATTATGTAATTGTTGTATAGGAAGATTAAATTATGGGTAACTTCTGGGGGCTATGTATGGACTTTTAATATGTATATATATTCTTATTGTATAACTATTTAGTAATTATATTATATATGTATATTCATATTCCCTTTATCATAATTTTCCATTTGACCTATTGACTGCTATTATACGATTTAATGCTCTTAAGTTATTCCCAATTTATTAGTTGCAGTATCTCACACTCACAGGCACTTTGGGCCCGACCTTGTATAATTGTCATTTTCTTTTTCTATGGTATGGTGCGGTCTGATTTGTTTGTATATAAACTGTATTTATATGAAATATATGAACCATATGGCGGAGGCTCATATTGGTGTTGTGGACTGAACCAACTAGGTTAGACGATAGACTACTATTTCAGAGGACAAATATGAACTCAGAGTTGACTCTAGGCTGTTGATACTGATTTACGAGTCATTGAGTTGGCACAGTGCCAAGATCATATACGTTGGTGTTTTTAATTAGCGATTTAGTCACATGATATATTAGCAAGTCCATAGGAAATAACAGTAATCTAGCAACTATCTATTCATATTTCTTCCAGTTGCTCAATTAATCATTCGGTATTAATTTGATAGTTACTTGTAAGTTATATAATTAGCATGTTACACTGCTACTTGGTTAGTATTATATTACTGTTGTTATTTAAATAAATATATATCAGTATAGAGCCGTGATGAAAAGCTAAATGAAAAGACTTATCCGCTTTGTTCACCTATTTACTAATGTACTTTAGTCACTAAATCAACATATGATACTAAATCTAGTGAAAGGACCTGTCTATCTTTGTTATCATGATCCCAGGAATTTATTCGTAATGAAAAACAATGTTATTTGTTACTAGTCACCCTAAACAGTACTAAACTTCAGAATAATATCATCGAAGCCTGCAGACTAGTTAACTAACAAGGAATTTTAAAGCTACTGGAAAGGAGCATGCAAATTTTTAGAAAAATCAACATTAGTTGTTGTTTAACAAGTCAATTTGTAGAATTTCTAAAAGTATTTACTGAATGCTTATTTATATATTGTATTCGTTATAGATTAATCTTAGTTGAGGTATCAGTAAAAACCAGGTACCACTAAAAGGCTATTTTGTCCTAGTCTTCAGCAGTGGGTACCGACTACTCTTCTATGGTTTAAGCTCAGGACCTTCAGGTTTTGGACTAGACACTTGGGCATTAGAACCCTGAGTCAACAACCAATGGTACAAATCCAAGTTCGAACAATTTTTGTGATATGGTGCGATGATCATCTGGTGCCACTGCAGACAACTGTTTCACCCTCGATACATCTATACTGCACAATTCACTATTTTTCACTGGAACTCCTAGAATATCAGGAATTAGGTTACTGGTCTACTGTACAGTACAGTTTAACTGAGCAGGTTTTGTGTATATTGATTTATTTTTGTAGGCTTTATTGATCAAAGGCTGATTTCATTTACGATGTTAAATGAAACCAGCCTTTAATTGAAATATTTTCCTTACAATATTCTTAAATATTTGTAGTTATATAATTTTTTTATAAAAATTCTTTCAATATTACTTTATACTTTACTGACGAATCAAAATAACAGTCATCTAATTGTAAATAAATCTGAATGGTTTTATAAGGAAGTGGTTTTTTTAAAAATTGATTAATCACTGAGTAGTGACCAGTTTCATGTATCATAGGTACGATTTGCTGACAAATCCTAAACAGCATGAAATGTAGTTCTACGATCTACTGTTGATCGCCTCCAACCGCCATCTTATCAAAATAATTTTAGTCAGGCATCTATTGAAATTAATCAAATTGTAGTACAATGTAGTCTTGCAGTTTAGATGTTTAATCATATGAATTATAGTGTTCTTTTTCAAATTACAATGTAGTATGCTTTTATGGGGTTACCTCTGTTTGTATTATTTATTCAGTAAGCATTGATTATATTACAACACCCATTTCTCATTGTCACTTTTCTCAATACGGCCAGTTTTTTCCATTCTTCATTACATGTTTTATGAGAAGTCTTATTTACAAATTCAGTTTTTACTTGACTTACATTTACGATTTGATTTATCTTAATATTTTGTAAAATATTTTCAGTAATAATGATTAATTGACAACTATATTTTCATTATTTCGTACTAACGATAATAATTTTGAGCTAACTATTTGAAGAATATTTTGTCCATTCCCTTGTAAACAAAAAGAAACGACGGATTTTTCAAGATTACCAGTTATAGTGTTATCAATATTTTCTTTCAGTTATCTTCCATTAATCAATCAACGCTAGTTACATATTCACTTGATATTGTTTACTTGAATCTTCTCATTGATATTTAGGACTGAAATCGATCAGTCTGTTATTGACATATGTGCATCCTGTTTGGATTGCCTCGATATTGGCTTAATTCAATGGAACGATTCAAATAACCAGATAAAAAATGAATTAAACTTCAGCTCATTGTACAAGCTAGCGGCTATCTGGACTCAGCAGCTAAGTGAATAACGCGATGACGTCTGAAGCGAACGTTACTGGATTCGAGTTGTGGAGTGAACATCAAACTCTAGAATGTAGATACATCCAACTAACGAGTCCCAAATGAAACGAAACGTGCGTCCCGGATTCCGCTACTAGCCACCATCCATATCTACTTATAGTTTATTTTATTATTTTCGAATTCCAAAATACACCTTTTAAACATATTCTTATGAATTATATTAACAGTTGTGAAAATGTCTTTTCATGATTGATACATTAAGTACTCTATTACATTTTAATAATAAATAAATAATAAACATTAAATAAATAATTAGACCGTATGAGATCGATCCATAGATTAACTGATTGTGATTTTTGAATAGTATTAAATAGATTTTCGGAGGGATCATAAATGTTTTTGGGAACTATTATGCAATTTATGGATTAGTAAAAAAAAATTAACCAGAAAAATTAATTTAGAAAATAATTCAATTGATTTTCTTATTACCATGTGAAATTTTGATTACATAATCATCATCATCATCATCATCATCATCATCATCATCATCATCATCATCATCATCATCATCATCATCATCATCATCATCATCATCATCATCATCATCATCATCATCATCATCATCATCATCATCATCATCATCATCATCATCATCATCATCATCATCATCATCATCATCATCATCATCATCATCATCATCATCATCATCATCATCATCATCATCATCATCATCATCATCATCATCATCATCATCATCATCATCATCATCATCATCATCATCATCATCATCATCATCATCATCATCATCATCATCATCATCATCATCATCATCATCATCATCATCATCATCATCATCACTCATTCATTCATTCATTTATTCACACGAGAGTGACATCCCTGGGTTCGAATCCCTCAAGCGGAATCGTGGGTGCACACTGCTAAGGAGTCCTACAATACAACAAAACGGCCGTCCAGTGCTTCCAAGTATTCAGTGATGGTCTAATATCATCCGGTTCATGATCTCAATCAATAACTCATTCATTCTTTCGTTTAAACAAAAACAAATTGCATATTAATTCATAAACTAATTTTTATATGAATTTCAATTCGGAATATAAAAATCATAGTAATAATAATAGTAATAGTAATAATAATAATTGGTAATTTGAATTGTGCGCGCTCAGATTATCAATATATTGATTGATATTAAAATGTAATTTGGAATGAATTATTTTAATTATAATCGATAAAAAATTTTCTTCAATTTTATTTCAGTTTACTTTTCAATTTCTCTTCAATATAATGAATTAGAAATAAAGGAGAAAAATTTCTTTATTTTCTTTCTTTCTGGAAAATATATGTCAATAGAAGATATACAACACTATTTTTGTTTGAAATTCAATAAAGGCAGAAATAAAAATGCAGCGTATGAGTATATAATTTGAATTAGATATTCATGGAATTACTTCTATTGTTAGTAGTATTAGTATTGGTAGTAATAGTAGTAGTGATCCTATTGGAAGCAACAGTAGTAGTAGTAGTAGTATAAGCTGTAGAGGGATGAAATATTAAATGATTACGTAAATCTTGAATGTTATAATCCATAAAATGTTTGTTATGGTAATAAATATTCTGGTTATTATTATCATTATTAACAGGAGTAATGATATTATCATTGATATGACTTAATTGTTTGTTTTCTTCCATAGATAATTGATTATTAAATGTTTGTGAACTGATTAAATTCCAAGATTGATTAATTTTATTATTTAAATTATTAGAGGTACATAACGGGGGACTAGTTGTTATTGATGTTGTAATCTCATCTATTTCATGATAAGTACTACCTAAAATTTTATCTCTTATACGTTTCTTTTGTTTCATTCGACGATTTTGAAACCAAATTTTCACTTGAGTTTCTGTTAAACTTAAATCAGCTGCAATTTCAATACGTCTTGCACGTGATAGATAACGATTAAAATGAAATTCTTTTTCTAATTCAGTTAATTGTCTAGTTGTAAAATTTGTACGTCCACTTAGTGAATTATTATTGTTAATTATGTCGTGTTTTGATTGATTATTGAACTCTGTACAATCAATAGAACGTTCATTGTTATAATTTAGTGTAGTTTCATTTCGATGTGAATTATTAATAGAATCATTCATAGTTGTACACGACAGTGAATCATAATTTATATTAGCGTTAAATGTTCTTTGATTAGATTCCATATGATCTGGTAATTCAGGTATCCATACAGATGAATGTGGCTCATGAGATGGTGTAGCACTGATTTTATTGATTTCAGGATTATCTTGAAATTTTGGATTATTAACAAGTGAAAAATTATTTGGATTCGATGAAACAGTAGATTTTGATGAATTAGATTTTTTAAATGTATTTGATTTGGTTGTAAATGTGTCTATAAAATAATATAAAAAAATAAAAATTATTAGTATGAAAACATAAAGTGTTCAGCACTCTGAATACAGTGATTACTCACTGAGACGTGATTGCTATCATGTTTTTTTGGTCATTTTAATGATGATGGGATTTAATCAACCAAGTTGCAGGTCGGCTACATCTCTGGACACTTCGTGCATTGTGTTGAGATGTTAGGTGGTTAGATACTTACTTGCTTACACCTGTTACCCCTCATGAGGGGCATAGGCCACTCACCAGCATTCTCCACCCAACTCTGTTCTGGAAAATAATTTCCAGCTGCTTCCACTTGCTATTCATTCTGTTGATGTTTCTTTCCGATTTTTGACTCAGTGTGTTCCTTGGTCATCCTCTTTTCCATTTCCCTTTAGAATTCCAAGTTGGAGCTTGCCTTGTGATCCAGTTTGATGATTTTCTCGATGTGTATCTTATCTATGTGCAATGTCTTTTCCTAATTTCTTAAATATTGGTTTTATTCTACTTGGTTTTGGTTAGTATGGACCACGACCAATATCCTAAAGAAATGTGATATCTGTACTGACTGATTGCTAACTATTGACCAATACTATAGTCCTTAGTGGTAACGTTTCATTTTGTGAACTTGTGTGGCATAGGTTCAAATCCACTATGGAGCACCATTTCCTTGGAGATAGCTGATTTTTCATGTGAACGTGTGTCATCTAGCACGAAGCATAAATTCTGGATTTTCTTCTGACTTTATGACCAGCTAATATCAATTACTATAGGCAGATTTGATACAGTAAACAACTGATACCCTCAAGTTGAACTTCCATTTTATTTTTAATGATTTATTTCATGTCAGTAAATCTACAATTATCGCACTCATTTCATCAGGGATTATTTTTTAAAAATTTTATTAATGTGAGGGGAAGGATTGAATCAGTGATGTAATTTTTTTATTGTTAAATAGATAGCTCAGCATTATTGTATATCTCAAAGACCTAGAAAATCTAGTTCATCAATCGTCATTGACATTCATAGATTAATGTAATATGTGTTCTTAGCAGAAAAACCTATAAATATATAATGAGCTGAATTAAATGATTTTCATGATGATGCTTCACATATTTTTCATTAATTTCATCAAAAACAAGGTGAAATGTGTCGTTAACCACTGAAAACTAACGAGCATCAATAAACTATTTCATCTTAGATCCAGCTATATTAGCGTCTAGCATTCATGACTCACATCGAGAGCAATCAGTTCCCCATTGCTAGTACAATAACAGTGAACAACTAATTTTAGAATCAATAACAGTCAGCAAGAAGAACTACTTTCGAAATCTATTAAAATACTAAATGTCCAGTTAGTTTGATAGTGTAGAAATTAGAAGTTAAATATGATCTTATCTTATTATCAAGTAAATTATTAGTAGATTATCTTTTATACAGATAAATAGAATAACAGATTTACTGTTTGACTGTGCTTCAGGATAATGGTTATAGAAATTAAGGAGATGGCAATCAGTGTAGTGCAATTATTAACTCTAATAGAAGTGTGAAAGATAGAGTTTAAATAAATAAATAAATAAATAAACTATATAGAAGAATGAACAGTCTGAACTAACATTTAACTCAAATCTAATATCAAGTAGAGAATAAATAAAACTGGATTAAATTAACCGACTTGATTGTATATCACCTAGTCAACTAAAAGTCAATGACTTAATGGATTGATTTTATGAAAATCATCATTGTCATTAGAATCACACAGAAAATCTTAATAAATTCATATTGTCTACAAAGCAAAAAAAACAAACAAACAAAATAAATAACAAGCAAAAAATAACACATCTACACCATAAGAAAAATCTTATTATAATGACTTACTGTATCCAAAACTTTATTGTTTTAATTAATATTGACAATTTAATCAAAAGTGTTTAATAAATTTGTTATCATAGTAACTACACTATGACTAACTAACTAATTAACTAACTAACTAACTAACTGATCATCTGTTGTTTGCTTGTTTGTTTGTTTTTAACAAAGAATTAATTGAAAATTATGTAGATGAAGTATAAACCACTGAAGAATCGATAATACTTTGAATAGTTAAAAAGAAAAGAAAAAAAGAAAAAAAAGAAGGAATAGAATACACAAGGCAGAAACAAAATTAAATCAATTTACAAATGTTAAGTTTTCTTTTTTGTTGAAAATTGACATACTCTCTAAATTAATGATATTTTCTTATTAATTTCTCTTTTCGAAAAAATAAACATTTTACTAACTGTGAAATTAAAACAAAAAAACAGACGAAACAAAACAACAACAAAAAAAAAACGTTTATTTCAATCATATTGATAAAAGTTGATCAATCTTGTTAAATTTATCATCACCATTGAACACTTATGAATATGATTTAGTTTTTGTTTTAATAATTAAGGAATAAAAAGAAATGAAGATACAATTGAAATGATACCTGACAAATGAATATTCATCATTACTGTTCCCTTATTTGTATATAGATGTATAAACAGAGGATATACAAAAAAATAGAGAAGAATTTAGTGTAGTCTTTTAGAGATTTTATTGATATTTGAAAATGAGTATCAAACTGAAATTTACTTTAACATAAACACACATAGAGACATGAAAGTAGATGAATTAACATAAGTATATACTAACATAGTTTTATGTAAAAGCTTTAAGTGTTTTAATCAATAGTTGAACAATAATAATATCAAATAATAATACATTCAGTCTGTCAATTATTCCTATTTAAAATGAGAAATAAGTTATAGGAAAGAACTTTCGTCTTAGTTAAACAAATGCAACAAAGAACCTAGAATATATGGGGATTAGTTCGAGTTGTTACATTGTATTAGGTCAGAGAATTGTCAGATTATTACAAGTAGTAACAGTATTAATAGTTGTAGAAAAGATTGAACATTAAAGACTGATATGATGGAAAGAAAAGTCAATTTTCGATTGATTTACTCATTATGAATTTTATTCAAGGTTACTTCCGTTTTGATTCAATGCAATGATTACTCAATGGAGTGTTTGTTTTCTTTTCACGTATGATATTTTATTCTGTATAATATGCGATATTCTTGTATTCCATTGACATGAACTATGCTCAGTATGTGGTTTATTATAACTCTGAGTATTTTTCATATATGTGATTTCATCCTAATTATTAATCAAAATGGGTGTACAATCAATATATAAATGAGTGTATTTTCTACTAGAGTCGTCGTCGTCGTGTTTTGGGGTTAATAAATCATCACTTATACCAGTCTTTGTGTTCTTACTCTCGCGTCGTGGGAATTGCAGAGGTTCCTCGTTCCGAGTATAAGTGATAAGCATTTCCGAAATAACAATCAGCGACGACCAGATACAAAAAAGTAGCATTAAAAGAACCAAGACAATAATCAGTCAAACGACAAATTATAACA